ATATCACTAGACTGGGAAAAATAAGAAAATCTGATGGTTGTAATCATTGGCAAGAATGTGGATTGAGAGTAACTCTCATGCCCTGCAGGTGGAAGTGTAAATTGTTAGAACTAGTTAAAACGGCTTGGCATTATCTTGTTAAGTGAAGATTAAGTCACCCTATGACTCAGTTCTGCCACTCCTAGATGCGGAGCTTAGAGATGCTCTGACACATCTGTACCAGGAGCCACAAACAAGAACGTCTGTAGCAACAGTGTCTGGAATAGTGAGAACTGGAAATGACTGAAATATCTGTCTCCCGAAGAACACATATGTCAGTGGTGGCATATTCAGATACCGGAATGCTATACAGCAGTAAAGATGAGTAAACTATGCTCCATGCATCAACAAGCTCTCAAAATTACAGGATTGAATGAAAAAAAAGCAGATTACTGAAGAATACATACAGCAGGATGCCACTTATATAAAGTTCAAAAATTTACAATACATTCAGCGGTATATGAAAGTGGAAGAGGTATAGCCCACCCCGGTGCAGGCAATGAAAAGGTACATTATTTGTAAAGAAATTTAAAACAATAATAAAACGGACTAGATCTGCTGCTGCTCATCCCCATGCATCAGCAATTCTGAACAATACTGTGGACAAAACTCTCCTCCCCGCAAAGACAACTACTTCCAATCCCCACCCTTCCACCTTGGTATACAACTGAACACGTTGTTTGGAGACATTTTATTTCTGTAGTAAAAAGTATCATGAGAAGTAACCGGGTGCTAAAATTAAAGTTCAGCTGAGTGGTTTTTCTTGGAGAGCGAGAGAGGGATACAAATGGGGACCAGCAGATGCCTTCAAAGGTATGCCTTACGTTCTATTTTTTAAACCAAGTGATGGGTACATGGCTGTTTATCACATTTTTAATATTAAGTATCTATTATGTGTATATCTTCTTCTGTGTGTATGAAATATTCCACCCTCAAGAGAAGACTGAAAATGCAAAATCAGCAGGGGGAGGGCCAGGTTGGAGAGAACTCGCTCTGTAATGCACTGGAAGCTGCAAGCTCAAGAAAGAATAAAAGGACCATGGTTGACCAGAAAAGGATGAGGAACCACATGGGGGCAGCAGCAGCAGACACCCAGGCTGAAGCTCAGGGGATGTGGGGGCCTGAACTGAGGGGAAAATCTGGGGAAGCCATGGGCACAGGTGAGGCTTCCAGGAAGCACATGTGGAGTGAGAAGATGGGGGTCACAGCCAGGGGCCCAGAAGCACTGAGCCTCAGGAGAAGGAACCCTTACTTCTGAGACTGAGGCTGAACAGGAAGGCAGAGCAGCGAGAGGAGAGCAGGTCCTGAAAGCTGGGGAGGGCTGGTCAGCAGGCCACACACTGCTGGGAGGGCAGCAGGACAAAGCCAAGGAATCCGCCCTGGATTTCACAATGAGGGCCATGGAGGACCCAGTTGTTCTGTGTAGAAGAGGGGGGAGCCAGATTGCAGTGGAGGAAGATGTGACTCAGAGGAAGGGAAATGAGGGTGGGGAGTCCAGACAGATCTCCAGAAGTTTGGCTGAGAAGATGGGAGCGGCAGCTGGGAAGAGACATGGAGTCAAGGGAGGGATTTTATTAAACTTTTAAAATGTTCTTTTAAAAACCCCAATCTGGTTTAGCCCTGCTAGGGCAGAGAGGGTGCCTTCAGACCTTACCCGGGTGCTGGCAACTGTAAGCATGGCAGGTTTTCGCTGGAGTCAAAGCAGGGGGTTCGGTGGCGTTTCTAGGGTGGGGCTGGCTGTCGGCCATGGTGGGGAGGAGTATTTTATCACTGACTGTTCAGAATCGCTGGTAGCTGGTGATGGTGAAAGATAAGAGGAAGCAAACCACTTTTAGTAATTTTTATTCTTGTTTTTAAATTCTCTACAGACTATGCACCTTTTCTTGCCTGCACAGACAGACTGCTCCTACCACCCAGCCCTCGGTACATACCACCAATGGGAGGAACAAGGTTTGAGTTGGTGCCCTTTGGCCCACTGTGATTGAGGCTAATTATTACCCCCTTAGGGTTGTTGTGAGGATGGAATGAGAGAACAGGAAAGCACCAAGTGCCTAGCACACAGTAGGTGCTTACTAAGCAGACTGCTGACCTTTTGAAGGCAGGGAACAGAGAAGATAGTGACTGGAGTTGCTCCAGGCCCCAGTGGAGGAACAAGGCCCAGTGTGGACCTGGGGTAGATCCAGCATAGGGTGGGTGGGGGTGAGTCTCCTGGATCTGCCCCTTGCAGTTTGGCTGGGCCCGCAGCTAATCCCTCCCACCCCCCAGCTGCTGTCTGTCCACAAAGTCCTCCCCATAGACCCAGAGGCCAGGCCTGCATCCTGCCGTGCCCTGCCCCCCGCACGTCCCAGAGGACCCACCGATGCCTGGGCTGCAGGGGGCAGTTGTCATGGGGATGCAGGGCCTGCTGAGCTGCCTCCTTAGCAACGGGACTCCCAGGCCGGTTACCATGGCAACAGCATCGACTAAGCAATCAGTGATGGGGATGGGGATGGGGACGGGTTCCCTGCCCTTTTCTGAGGACTTTCCCCTCCGGAGGGCGGGCTACACAGCAATCTTTGCGCCATGCTGGGAGCCCCTGGGACTTCACTTTTCCAGCGGCGGATCACTGCCTCTCTCCTACATGGTGAGGTCCAGCTCCAAGGGCCCTCGGGGACCCTCTGCGGCCAGGGGTGGGGGAGGCGGCCATCTGAAGGCTTTGCAGAGGGTCTTGGGGTCAGGCTTACCCCTCCTACCACAGTGGGGAGTAGGTGCCACACCTCCTAACAGTGAGGCCTCTCAGATTCCCCAACCCCAGCAGGAGCCCACGGGCTGTGGCCCCTCCATGGCCACTCTGAAAAGCAACCTTTTGTCCTGGCCATGACATCCGCCCCCCAGCCTGGTCACCTTTTGTCCCCCAGCCACCCTCCATCTGAGGGCCCATCTAATCAAGCTAAGAGGGCATCTCCCTCTTCAGTATCCAGCTGCAGTTCACATGCACACTGACTACCCTCCTCCTTCAGGGAGCACCAAGGAGTCCCAGGGACTCTGCAGCCCCACAGCCGGGGTGGGAGGGACCTGAGTCAGGGTCTTGCACCTACACTAGCAGACAAAGGACACATACTCTCTTTCTCACCCTCCTCCTTAATGACTCGTCAGCCCCGCCCACAGTGCGCGCTTCTGTCCATAGCCAGACCTCGCACTCCCTTGCAGCTTTGCCTGCCTGCTCGTGGGGGCACAGGCTTGTGCACACAAGCGCCCCGTGCTCTTGGGACCATGTCCCACTGCCCTCCACGGCCTGGCTCCTGAGGCTCCCGAAGTCCCCCCATCCCAATCCCTGGCCCCTAGAAGAAGGCAGCAGCTACTGGAATTTTTTTATTGAAATAGAATATACAACTCGGCGCATTTACCATTTTCTGTTTTAAAAATGGAAGATTTGAAAATTGCTTGTGGGGGATTGGGGATGGGAGTGCCCACCGACCGGACCTGGCTTTCCCAGTCTCTGGAGTGGCTGGGCTGAGTCAGAGCTTTTTGTAAAGTGTGTGTGTGTGTGTGTGTGTGTGTGTGTGTGTGTACTCAGAGCTTTTTATAAAGAGTGTGTGTGTGTGTGTGTACTCAGAGCTTTTTATAAAGTGTGTGTGTGTGTGTGTGTGTGTACTCAGGGCCCTGGACCCTCTACCCAACTCCTATTCCCTCCCTGCTCCCGCCACCTCCAGGACTAGACTGAGTTTGGATGCAGAACTCAAGTTGAGTGTGCTGCTACTCCAGCTCTGAGAACTCCCTGGGCCCAAGGGGGCTTCTCCTGCCCAGTAGAGACCAAGGCCAGGTGGCTCCTCGTCTCTCCCTAAGATCCCAGGATCCTTCACTCTCTTCTTCCCTGGATTATTGCCTCACACTCCCTGTGACCCATCTATGGAGAAGTTTTGTCCACATCCCAGGACAAAACCTGATCTTGTCAACATTCTGGCTTAAGAGTAAGGAGGAGGGTTCTAGATGGACAAGGCAGTACCAGCCCTCCTCGTTAATCAGGTCTTGGCAGCCTAACCTCCTCCCGCTCTTTAGGCAGTGGGCAGACCACTGGCCTTGTCTCTGGCAGGTGTCTGAGCTGCTTTCACAATGGCGCCCGCCCTGGACCTGCTTCTGGCTCCTAGTTGCCTTCGGAATCAAGGTCAGTCCCCTTAGCCTGTCATCTAAGGCCTTCCCTCTGACCATCCAGCCTCTGGATCTCTTCCCAAAGTCCCTGACTCCACAACTCCACATCCACCTCAGTCATGTCCCCACTGTGCACTCCATCCGACACCTGCCGCCTCCTTCCTTCCTTCCCTCCCTCTAACTCTTCCCACACCTGGAGGCCTGGCTCAAGCCCACCACTGGCCACACACCTTCCTTAGGCCCTTAGAAAGTTGCAGCCACCTCCTGTGTCCTGAGATCATAAGCCCTGGAGCCCGCAGCCAAAGCTCCCCAGGCTCTCACCATAGCTCACTGGGGCAATGCGCTGGGCACGTGAGGAGGGGGCAGAAGAAACATGATTTACTGAGCACCTACTATGGTATGTGCAAGGCGCTGGGCTGGGCATTTCACACGTACTACTTTTCTTATCTGGTCCTCATAGGTCCTTGTGAGGTGGTACCATAAGTATTCCCATTTTACAAATGGGGTAACAGAAAGCTCAGATAACTTGCCCAAGGTCACACAGCTAAGAAGTGGCAGGTCCGGGATTCGAATTCAGGTCTGATTACCTCTAAACTCTGGTCTGTTGAATTCAGCCCCTCAACACAATTTTCTAATGAAAGGAACATCGGCTTTGGCCTCAGGTAGGCCTGGATTACAATCTCAGATCAGTCCCAGCTCTGCCACTTGTAGTTATGCGATTCTGGAATAATTACCAAAACTTGGTTTCCTTATCTGTGAAATGGGAAGAATCTAAGTAACTACACCTCCTGGCCTTTGTAAAATTGAAGAAGTTAACGTGTGTAAAGTGCTAAACCAGTGCTTGGCACAGAGCAGACTCAATAAATAGAAGCTTCCCTCACCTCCCCCTGTACAGATGAGAAAACTGAGGGCCACAGAGGTGATGGGAATGTGCTTGAGGCCCTACAGGACAGGAGAGGCACAGCCTGGAGTCTTCTGCTTCCACGTAAGAGGTCGGGCTGGGACTGGATTTGAGACCAGAGACGGGGAGAGAGGGGGCCTGCTGAGAAGCCCGGGGGGGGGGGGTCCTCTTCCCTGAGGACTGGAGAGAATACTTCCCCCAGGCCCTGTGGTGCCCAGCCTGCGGGCCAAGGCAGGTTGCTGGATGTAAGGTGACCTGGGTGTCCTGGCAACATGGGGTTAAACTAGATTGCACACACATGTGCACACGTGTGAGTGGCTATCTACATGGCTCTACAGAGCACTACATAACTATACATATACACATCTTACATATATATACATATACATATTCATATACATATCTTGCTAAGTTTGCAGTAGAAAAAATGCAAGACTCTCAGGGCCCTGGCCCGTTTGTCCCAAGGACTCAGGCGACTGAGGCTCCCCAGGAACAAACCCAAGGGCAGCCCTTCCTGAGGAATGGGATAACCCCTAGCAGAGTGGGGCTCCAGGTTCACAGCTAAGGGCCTGGTGGTGGCTATTGCCCTAAAATGAATACAATGACAAGTCTGCTCTAGGTATCCCAAACATGGGTCACCCCCACCCTTGCCAAGCCCCAGAGAACCCACCTGCCTTCCTCTCACTTTTGCATTTGGGCCCTGCCTGCTCCCCTCCCCCCTCCCTCTAGTGCTGGGTATTAAAATAGTCTATAAAAGCAAGTGACCAAAATTCTATAGCTCTAAGAATACCTGGTTATTTTCTGCTCTTTTGTTTTTCTGGTGTGGGTTTTTTAATGATAATTATTATTGTTATTGGTATATCTCCTAATCACAGTTAAACCTGAAGAAAGAAAGGAGAAAAAAAGAGGAGAGAAGGAGGGAGGGAGGGAGGGAGGGAGGGAGGGAACGCAGCTCATAGATTGGAGGGCAGTTTGGAGCGCACTGGCTCAGACCTGGCCCCAGGTTCCCTCTGGGGAGCAGCAGTCAGAGGGGGACCCCCAGAAGAGGTGGCTCTTGCCCCAAATAAAGAAATAGGGGGTGGCAAAGAACCTGAGGATGTCTTCCGAGGCAGAGTGACGTGCTGGCCAGGGACGGCACCATAGGGCCTCCCGGGGAGACCGAGGCCCCCACTGCCCCCGCTGCCGCCCCCGCCTCTGGGAAAGAGTGGGAAGGCAGCCACGGACTCCCCAGAGGAGTGTGGGGAGGCTCTGCGGAGAGTCTGTGCCCCGTCCTGGGGTAGGGCCGGCTGAGAGGCTGAGATGAGCTTGAGGTCCTGGGTGAGGCGGCCCGGGGTGAGGGGCGGGGTGCCCCGGCGCTGGGGGACTTGGGGTGGCGGGGGACTGGATGCCGGAGGCAGGAGCAAGGAACCGTGGGAGCCGGATGCCCGGGGAGGGGCACTTGGGAAAGTTCTTGGAGGGCCTGGGCTGTGGCCAGGGGGGCTGAGACCTCCTCGGGGGGTAAAGGCTACAGGAGAGGCCCCCCCTGAGGCCCCTGCCGCAAAGGACAGCCGCTCAGGCTGCCGCGGGGGTGTCTCTGGCGTACTTGGTGGGCCGGTGGCCAGACCCGGGGACAGCTCCCCGGGAGGCTGGCCCAGCTGCCCGGGGCTGGACGACGGCGACCTGGCCGAGGCTGGGGGTGGCAGGAAGTGCTCTGCCAGTCCCAGGCCGCCCCGGGCCCCGGGCAGCGGGGGCGCCGGCTGGTTGGCCTGTGGGGAGCGGGCGCCCGGCTGCAGCGGGGTGAGCAGGGGAGAGTCCGAGGAGGACAGGGAGCCTCCCAGCGCCTTGTGGAAGTGGCCGAACCCGGCTGTGGCGGCGGCGACGGCCGCCGCAGCAGATGGCGTGGGTGCCGAGGAGGAGCTGCCCACCCCAGGCGGCGGGGAAGAGCTGGACGAGGGCAGGAGCGGGCTCAGTCCGGCGGGTGCAGAGAATCCAGCCAGCTGTTGGATGTGGAAGGAGGAGGAAGACGGCGTGTCCACCTGCGACGGGCTGCTGGCGGGCGAGGCGGAACCCAGCGCCGACGGGATCAGGGACTGCAGCCGCTTCAGGTGCCGGGGCGTCTGCCCGGCCCCGAGGCCGCCCAGCCCGGGCCCCGGGGGAGGCCGGAAGATGGCGGCGGGCAGGCGCGGGTGGTGGGTGAGCGCGATGGCCACGGAAGTGGTGGCGGCGGCGGCCTGCAGCGGCGCCTGGATCAGCGGGGTCCAGATGACGGGCGTGGGGGTCGGAGTGGCAGAGGCGGCGGCCTGGACGCGGTGGGCGCAGTGCGCCATCTCCCGGTCGTGCTGTACGATCTGCTGGATGATCTCGTTCTCCTGGTAGTTGAAGACGCCTGAGTTGAGGTCGTGCTGGACTTTGTGGAGGAGGATGGAGTTCTTCTTGCCTGGGCCACAGAACAAGAGCAGGAGCTCAGGGTAGGGTGGGAGGAGAGGGGAGCCCAGCCGGCATGTGCAGCGGGGGGAATCCACCCTCCCTCCGGGCCGCCTCACCGATGCGGTCCAGGCGGTCCAGCGCCACCGTCTCGAAGGCCCGCCGCATCATGGGGTACTCCTCCAGGACCTCGTTGAAGTTGTCCACGCTCAGCGAGTAGAGGCGGCAGTAGGTGTCAGCCCTCACGCTGGCTGTGCGCCGGCCCCGCGTCAGCAGGCAGATCTCTGCCAGGATGGCAGGAGTCACGGGGGGGAGGGGGTTGCGGTAGGGGGGTCCCCGGCAGGCTTCAAAGGATCCCCCACCCCACCCTGACCTGGGGCCCTGCTGTCTGGGACAGAAGCTGGACAGGCTCACAAGGCCCCACGCCTAGGCTGTGACCGCATCGGGGATGCCAGCCCCCAACCAAATGGGTACCAGACTGTCTTTCTCGTCTCTGGGACCACCCCTGCCCTGGGCTCACGGACACCCGCCTCCAGGCAGTGGCGGGAGGGTCTGCGATGTCATCCTCGGTGTCTCTCCAGCCCATTGCTCCGTCCCCCCAGGGCCCCTTGGCTGTCTCACCTCCAAAGTAGGAGCCATCCGCCAGCTTGGTCTCCTTGTTGCCCTTGGTGAGCACGCTGACCACCCCGTGCTGGATGAAGTACATCTTCTTGCCGATGGTGCCTTCGCGGATGATGTAGTCCCCCGGCTGGAAGACCTCGAAGCGCAGCTTGGTCAGCATGGAGGTCACAAAGTTGGGGTCCGCGTTGGCAAACAGCGGCATGGAGGCCACCAGCTTTCGGCAGTTAAAGTTGATGATCTCCTGCTCCCCAGACAGGGTGGATTGAGAAAGGGAGGTGGAGATGAGGGGAGCCGCCCAGCAGGAAGGCCTGGACCCCCTCCCGGGCCGGCAGCCACAAAGCTCACCTCCCGCAGCGGCTCGCTCAGCTCGCCCAGGATGCTCTCCTCGTCGAACATCTTGCCCTGGTAGCGGTGCTCGTAGTAGTCATGGATGCGCTGCCGGGTGTCGGGCGGGAGCTTGTGGAAGGACATGTACTGCTCCACCTGCTTGTACTGAGTCCCAGGAGAGAGGGAGAGGGCGTTACCCCCTAGCCAGCCGGCCCCACTGCCCCAGCTCGCACCACCCTGTCTCGGCTGCTGGTGACCAGAGCTGGCACAGACCCTGTGGGCCTTTACGGCCGACCTGTGAGATTGAGGTCCTCGGTGTGGGTGTGGCCCTGACTCCCAGATGCTTGGAGTGGAGGAGGGGCGCCATCAGAGTGTCCACTCCTCACCATGTTCAATACTGTGAAGATGGCCGGCCGACAATAGGGACTGTCCAACTCCCAGATACAGGAGACCCACTGACCAGGAGGTCGATCGAGTTTCCTCTAAACGTCGGTCTCTTCTGTGTTACACTGTGGACCAGAGAGGCCTCACCCACAGACTCTAGAAGGAGCTGTTTCCCATCAGTTGTAACAAACTGGCAGAGGCAGCAGAATGGGCTGCAGTCGGTTAGAGGGACTGGAGGCTGAAGCCAGGATGCCTGACCCATCAGGTGGGGCATGTATCCAAACATGGCCTCGGCTGAGGCTGTCTTTTGTTGAAGAGCAACTCCAGCCCAGAAGAGGGGCTGGGTAGAGCAGGGGCCTTAAAAAGAGGTTTGGGGACAAGAGATTTGTGAACCTAAGTGCCCAGGGCTTCACCAAGTAAGAAATGCTCCTGCTCACCCCGGGGGTGATGGGTGGGTGCTGCTCCAGCCATCCCTGGATTGTGGGTGGAGAGCAGGGATCTTCAGAAGCATGGCTGGGACAGGAGGCACAATTAGGCAAGAACAGATGTTCCCCACACTGAGATGTAAGGGAAGTCCCTGTACCCCAGGAACAATCAGAAACAGGGGAGTCTATTTTCACGTACTAGCGCTCCAAAGAGGTGGGGACTGATTATACTGTTTGGGTCCCACTGCACTGAGGTGGACACAGAGCGTGGGGTGAGGGTGAGGTGGGAAAAGAGCGGCCCCTAGGAAGATGGGGGAGAGAGAAGCAGAGAGCTGGGCCCACGCCACCAGGGGCCCAATGTGGGATGACTGAGAAGACGAGCCAGCCAAGGAGAGCAGGGAAGAGAATGGAGAGTGCGTGGTCGTGGAAACAAGTGTGAAGCCAAGCAGGGAGTCATAACTGTCAGAGGCCAAGCAAGACAAGGACCCCAGAGGACCCACTGGCTTCAGCACCACGGAGGGTAGAGGTGACCTCAGACTCAGTGGGCTGAGAGAAGAAAGTAGATTCAACAGCCATAAACAATGCGAGCTTTCTGGTTGGTCGGTTGGTTTTAGGAATTTGTCCATGAAAAAGAGGCAGACAGCAGAAAAGATAGGAGGCAAAGCCCGTTAATGGTGGAGGGACAGACGTTTCTAAAAAGGGAGAGATGGAGCAAGTTTCAATGCTGATGGGAAGCCCCTCAGAGAGGAGGAGGCTGGAGGGGATAGTGGGCACGGGGTGGGGAGGTCAGGAGGGAAAGGGGCCCTCAGTCAGGAGAGACAAGCCCCCAATTTCAGCAGGAGGAAAACGGGGTACAAATAAAAAGACATTTAGAGGTTTAAGGCTGGGGAGCTGAAGAAGTTCTCACTTAGGAGGGGTTCGCCTCCATCTGTCACCCATACGGGAGCCCCCATCACAGGGGGCTGGACCCTCTGGGGTCCGGTGGCTGGCAGCCTGTGCTCCCTGTGGGAAGGAGCGACGGGCAGGTTCTCCTGAGAGAGCCCAGGGTGGACCCCAGCATTCCAGCCTACCTTCTCCTGGTACTGGCGCCGGGAGGAGTCCAGAGACTGGATGAGGGCCGTGGCGTGGCCGATGAACATGGCGTAGCAGGTGGCACCCACGATCATGCTGAGCATGGTGAGCCAGACGTCTGACATGCCCACCGGGGCCTGCCGGCCATACCCGATGCACAGCATGTGGCTCATGGCCTTGAAGAGGGCGTAGGAGTACTGCTTTCCCCATGAGTTGTTCTGTGGACAGACGCAAAGGTGGACAGATTGGGGGAGGGGTGGGAGGGACCTGGGCCAAAGAGAGGGCAGGCCCTTCTCAAGAAGAGCTAGAAAAGTCCCTGCTACCTCTCACCCCTCAGCCTAACTTTCCCAGTGGCTGAGGCCTGGGCTTACAACCTTGCTGTTGGCTGAAAGCCTTGGGTGAGGGGCAGGGAGGCCCACACTATCTGCCCATGGTGACCAAGTGAATCCCTCACTTAGGCCTTTCTCTGGCAGTGGAGGGGCAGGGCTCAGACCAGAAGCCCCAGCTAAGGGATGGGCACCAGCCTAACACCCCACCACCTCCACAGCCCCGGACCTCTCAGCCCGGGGGCAGCCTGGAGCCTCCCCAGCAGCCAGGGCTCCAGGCTGGGCCACCCTGCTGTCCTGAGCTCACCGAAGCAGCTCCATCCCCCGCACCGAACTACTGCCAAGTGAAGCCCATTTCCCCACTGACCTCAATTATAAAACCAGATATGCTTCCCCTGGGGGGACAAGCTCAGGCAGACTGAGCCGAAAACGCTGTCCTCGTTTTGGGTGAGCAAAGTTAAAGAGCTGCCGAGCTGAGTCGCCTCCTGTGTGAACCCGGCCTGCATCCATCCAGGGCTGTGGCCACTAGTTACCCTCCCCCACCCCAAAGGTGGATGGCCTGAAACACACACAGTGCTGGGGACGGAGGAGGGAGAAAGGGAGCGAGGCTCCTGGCTATTTTTGTCTCCAAAGCCAGTCGGTGTCTCAAGGAAGGCTCAGTGCGGGAACACTGCGCTCAGAAGGGCCATCTCCTGAATTTAATGCATGTGTGGGCCTGTCACCCTCCCACAGAGGAAACTGCCCCAAATGAAGGAGCCACCGGGTAAACCCACCTCCCCAGTGCTCTCTGCTCAGGAGGCAGATGCGTTAGCATGAATGTGGAAAGCCACCCTACTGCACGCCCAGAACCCCTGCCCAGAGCCCTAAGCACTTCCGCAATCACCAGGTTGTTCCCAGCACCTGGAGGAAGGCACAGGCGCTGCGTGCCAAGTTCAAGCTCACTCAGACCATCCTGGACACAGCTGAGCTGGTCTAGGGGCTCTCATTCCAGAGAGTGGGAGGTCAATGATCTCCAGGGATAGAGGGGGCCTGGGCTCCCCGTCCCCAGGCAGCCCCCAGCTGCCTCCAGCCAGGGCTCTGGCTTTACTGCTGAGCCTCTGGGGACCGGGAAATTCAATCCACGTGGCCGATTCATTTACACTTAGCTCATCAAAAGGCTGTTTTGCAAAGGCCTGTTTGATGCTGAAAGATGCCTCAGGGTCTCTTTCACCTCTTTCAAAGCCAGTTTTTCCTCCCCTGGGGCCCTGAGGGTTTGCCTAGAGAGCAGACCAAACTGACTGGGAGTGAGAGGAGGACGCAGGGGTTCGCAGAGCCAGAGAAAGGCCCATAGGCCCAGGGGACCCGCCACCCTGCCTGGAGCGTGCCCTGTTCACAGGAGGCTGGGGAACCCTGCCCCACGGCTCCTCTCACCCACCCACAGGGTGGAGGGGGAGGGAGGGGATCAGGCTCCTTCGAACCTGCCTTCCCTGCTCAGGACCCCACCTACCACCTAGGATGGGGTTGTGTGTCTGTGGGGTGGGGCAGGAGGAGGGTGCAGAGGGACAGCCCAGCTCTGCTGCTGGAGCAGAAGGCGGCAGCCACGTGTGATCTGGGAGTCCATGTGGGCTGCCCACAGTGCCCCTCACTGGTTTCTCCTTCCTAGGACTCTGCTGGCTTTTAATGGTTGGTCAGCCTCGGGGAGCAGAGATAGGAGGGCAGGAGCCACCAGCCCGGTATTCCCACACCTGATACAGTCTGAGGAAGCCCTGGTCTTAGTCTCCCTGGGTGCAATCAGCGCCAAAGAGCGAGGCTCCCGTCTTCATTGGAGGCTGTAAGGCGGCAGAGGTAGCAGCACAGAGCCAAGGGCTCCGCCGAGGCCCTACGTGACCTGCTCTGCCCATCTGCACCTCGTCGGTCCCCTGCCCCCACACCTGGAGGGAGGGCCGAGGGCTGGGCACTCACCACCATGTTGTTGATGGACACCCAGCAGTCGTCAGGGAAGTCCTGCAGCATGGGCACCAGGAACTGCAGGCAGCCGTCCCAGTGGCAGAGCAGGAGCATCATGCCAATGAGGTTCACGATGCGCACCACGGCGCTGGCCAGGTCGTAGGTCATGTGGAAGATCTGCGGGCAGAGGGGAGAGATTGGCCCAATTAGCTGGGGGCCGGCCCGCTCCCGGGCAGACCCCGCAGCTGCTTGCAGGCCCTGATGCTCTGCACATACTGGGCAGCGCGCCCAGCTCGGTGCAGGTCCCGGCCGTGGCGAGGGTGGGAAGGCGTCAGGCTGGCCCTGGGAGAAGCAGCCTGCAGGCTGTGGGGCTCCAGAGGGACTCCACCTGGGATCCATGCAGATACGGGGGTGGGCTCCCATGGGGAGTCCAGCCACCCAGGCCGGACACGTGAAGGGAGGGCACGTAGAGCCCCATACAGCCTGGAAACGGGCAGCTCACCTGGGCTGTGAGGACAACACGAAGAAGAGCCAGCCCACCAGAGGCTCCTCGGGGTACTATGGTCTGCGGTCACACCAGGGACATGGTGTTTCCCTAAATCTGTCACTACACTCTCAGGACCCCCCCAGGGGCAGCGGGTTCTGCCAAAGGCAGCCATGGAACTGCAGGGGGGGCAGTACAGACACCTAGGCTCCAAGTTCACACAGACCTTGATCCCAGGCCCAACTCCTACCCAATTCCTAGTTGTGTGACCTTGAGAAAGTTCCTGAACCTCTCTGATCATGTTTCCTCATCTGGGAAATGGCGATAAAATTTCTTACCTTGAGTGGGTTGTCAAAAGGATTAAATTATACATATAAAGTGCTTAGTACTGGGTATGGAAGTATTCAACAAATTGCAAACCATTATTGATAAGTTATTAATAATTAATCCTTATGATTAGTTAACATGTATGAGTAGTAATGCTCTCCTGTACAGTTTAATAAGGTACAGCAACCATGGCCACCCGTGTATCTCCACTCCTGTGGCTCTGAGCAAGAGGCTGAGGTGTGGCTGGGCAGGGCCAAGGATGCGTACATCCCAGCATCCCTGCCCCACCTCCCTCCTCCCCAAGCTGCCTCTTGGTCTGGTTTCAGCAGGGGTCACCATGGTGACAGGATGGGGAGGGGACAGAGATGGAAAGAAGTCTAGAGAGAGGTCTCTGGAAGTTCTAGCCTTGCCTCTGGCCTGGGAGACTCTGGAGGTGCCCCCACCCCTAGTTCTGGTCCCTCCATATTATTCCCAGGTAGAGAGCCTTCCTGGAGAGGGGCTTTGGGCCAAACCTGAAGACTTGTCAAATGCCACAGAGACCTAGTTTAAGCCCATTTCAGATGGGGGAACCTGAGACCCAAAGAAACAGACCCTAGATATTTCAACCCCTGTCTAGTGGTCTTTTAGCAACAGCCCCGTAGCTGGTGGCAGGATATTCTGATACTTGAGACCTCAGTTTCCCCTTCTGAAATATAGGCTTAGCCTGGGTCTTGGTCTGGAGAAACCAAAGATGAATACTACTGTGTATCACCCCCTGGGTTGCGCCCACCTGTGGCCCCCTTAGTAGCATGACTCTGGATGTATGAGCTGGAAGGATGAAACAGACCTTGGAAAGTTTCCTGGAGGATGGCAGCTCTAGCTGTCCCATCACCCCTGTGTCCCCGGCAACACAGAGACAGTAACACCGAACCTGAGGGGGCGGGCACACGGTCCCACAGTCATCATCTCATTCAAACTCACAACAACCCTTTGCTGAAAATGTTGTTAACGCTTTTACACCCAGGCTCAGAGAAGTAAACGGACTTGCCCTTGGTCATGGCGGCAACAGAAGGGGCAGATTTGAACCCAGGGCTGCCTGCAAATTATTAGATTGGCCCAGGGCGGGAAGGGTGGTTTTCAGTAGCTCCGTTTCGTAAATAAAACAACTCAAACCCAAAGTGGCCAAGTGATGTGGCCAGATCCACACAGCAAGCTGGACCCAGGGCCAGGCGGGACTCTCCGGCATCTCACCTCTGTAAGCCTGGTGCACAGCGTAATACTGTAGACAGAGCTGTGCGCCTGGCAGCCTAGCCCCACTGGGGCCCAGAAACCAGCCCCAGGGCTGTCAGCATGCCATTGCCCAGCTTAGCGGACACATCTCTGTATAAGGAGGGGTGGGCACTAGAGAGCAGGCAGGGCAGGCAGCTCCTGAGTACCAGTGCCGCAGCTGTGGCTCCAAGGGAAGATCCCACTTCTGCCTCTAAAGCAGCTGCTTAGGTGAGCACAACAGCTCTATGACCTTGGGGCCACTAACCCTGCAAAGTCTTGGTTGACCAGAATGCCACCAGCTCCCCAACTCTGGGGGGATGGGGAGGGTGAGTGACATGGGACCACCTAGTCTCAGAGATGGCTGACACCTGTCCTCACCTCCCTCCACACCTCAGCATCTCCTCAACTAAAACAAAGCTAGACATCTGCCCCCACTTCTCAGGGTTGTTCAAGAAATTAAACTGGCTAAGAAAGTGCTCTGGGCCCTGAACACATACGTGGGTGGTGGAGGGGGGGATTCATTATTATTAAGTTCCTTCATTTCCCAACTTGTATGAACTGAAATCTCCCCAAAATCCTATGTTGAAGCCCTAACTCTCAATGTAATGGTATTAGGAGGTGGAGCCTTTGCAAGATGATTAGGTCATGAGGGTAGGGCCCCATGGATGGAATTAGTGCCCTTACAAGAAGAGACACGCGAGAGTTGATATGTGGCCACGTGAGGACACAGAAAGAGGACGGCCATCTACAAACCAGGAAGCGGGCCCTCACCAGAACCTGACCATGACAGCATCCTGATCTCATCCTTCCAGCCTCCAGAACTGTGAGAAATAAATATTTGTCATCTAAGCCCCCCAGCCTGTGGTATCTTGTTCTAACAGCCAAAAACAGATACCACACTGAAGGAAGACTTGGATCACTTTTAGAAAGCATCCCAGACTCCACAGCCTGCAATAACTGCTCCTTTCTATGTATTACTCTGGGTCTTAAAGACCAGATCAAGGTTGGCACATTTGAATGCAATGTGTTCTTTCCTTTTTCTATCATCCTTGTTTTTCTTTTCTTTGTAACTAATTTTCTTCCAAGATCAGGTCCTTGTATAATTTTGCCTTTATACTGATCTCAGCAACGAGTATGCAGAGCACATGGTAGGGTCTCAGGAACTGAGAAGTGCTTAAGCGACGAAGGTGAAGGTGATGAAGACAGTGGTGGGGATGATGGTGATCAGGGCTGCCACGAGTATACACAGTGGCATTCGAAAAAGGCCCCAGTCTGGGCAGGCACAGCCCACAGGGAACCTGCTTTTGCAGGAAGAGAAAAAGGTGCTTTTTCCTGCAGGTGGCACAGACTCATGTATCCTCAGAGAGCGTGGTGGTGGTGGTGGCGTGCCGGATATTGGCTGAAGGATGCAGACGCTGGGAGTGTCCTGTAGGGGTGGGATGGTGGTAGTTCTGGTGGTGGTGAGGGGTACTGCGGATGGCTCTCAGACACACAAAGCCAGGGGCACCAGCATGGCAAAGTCTGAGCTTTCTGCAAAGAGTTGGTGGGGGATACATCCATTCAGGCTAGGAGGGTACCCCAGACGGTGGACACTCACCCCACCCCCAACACTCTACAGCACCCAGGGGTGGTTGCTGAGAGCAAGGCTGGACGTTGCTGGGAGAGGTTGCTAAACACCCGTGTGTCCCCACTGTGGGCTGGGGCCATAGGCCACCCGCAAGTCAGCTGCACTGTGCAAATATTTGTCTTGCTCTTTATACCTCATTAAAACCCCCTTTTATGATTTTGGTTCTGACTTTCGGGGTTGACTGTCTTCATTTCAAGGGCCCCACAAGGCTTGCCAGGCAGGTGGCCTGGACAGCTCACTCTCTGTGCCCAGCATGGCATTTGGGGGAAGCTCCTACTCCTATTCCCTTCTGTAGTTTCTGGACCACAGGGTAACGGCAGGGTGACACGTCTCTCACCGTCTCCCACCTTGGGCAAGTGCCTTCTCTGCTCTGAGCCTCAGTTTCCTCATCTGTGTAATGGGTCAATAACTACCAGCTCCCAGGGCTGTCTTGGGGATCAGGAGCTGGCACACAGGAGGTGCTCAGCACACGTTGGTCCCTTTCTTTCGGTCTCTTTCCCAGCCCTCAAAATAAAGAGCTGATTTCTCAGTCCTGGGGAGAGACCAGAAACTGGAGTTTCTGCCAAGGCCTCTTCTTGGGGCCTTGTTAGAGTTCCCTCCTGGGATTTGTTTTCTCCTCGGGGAAGAAGAACAAACTCCTCCCTTTGTCTCACGAACAAGCAGCCACATTGAGAACAGCCATCCGGGTCCTGAGAGAGTGGCTGGTGCATGTGTATCCTGGGTACAAACTAGAGGGTCATGCTAGGTCCCTTCCTAGGGCCCGTAGAGAGGACCAGCTCCTGCCCCCCAGGACCATGCCTCTGTGTCGTCCCAAACTCCCGATTCTGAGAGAGGTGGAAAAATTGAGGCCCACAGGGAGAGGAGCTTCACTGGGGGCTGCACAGCCCCCCTGGCCTGACTTCCTGCATCCAGCCCCTTCCATTACGCCAAGATGCTGCCGAGGGAAAGAAGAGGCTTCTGGGATGGGTCACTGGGGTGCTGGGCCCTGCAGGGGAACATCCAAAGGGGGGCAACCACGGTTTCTAACAATAGCCTCCATGCCTATAACAAGCTCACACCTCAGAGGGAGGGAAGAGGCTTGGGAGGGAGGATGCTGACCTAGATCGCCCAGGATGCAGGCAGAGGCTGGCATCCTCTGAGACAGTCGTCTACGCCTGCCGAGACCCTCCACCTACCCTGACTCCCAAGAGCTGCTACTAACGTTCGGGAACTCTCGGCTGGGAGGCTGGGCTGGGCTGAGCTGGGCTGGGGGAGGCAGCTGAAGGCTGAGGGTCAGGAATCCAGCATCTCTGCAGCTTCACCAGGGGATCTTGGGCAAGCTTCTCCCTCCCCATGGGAGGCCGACTCTCCAGCCCTCACCCAGCACCACCACCGTGTCCTCAGAATGACCAGCTAACATGATCCTCGCCGAGGGAGGTTGGAGTGGGGACTGAGGCCCAGCCTCTGAGGACATCAGAGTACATCTGACAGTCGGGGAAACTGAGGCCTAAAGAAGGGGAGAGATTCACATGAACTGGAGTTGGAGGAGGAGAAAGAGCAGGGTCTTCTCTTCAAAACACCTCCCTCCCCAGGTCTCATGCAGACCTGAGGCCTCAGAGGTCTCCCTGCTGCTGCCTACAGGCCAAGGTGAGGCTGGGAGAAGCCCCGAGGGTGGGGCAGGCTACTGAGGGTCTGGAGACAGGGTTCCTGGGGCCAGCTGGGAAACCCCAATCCAACCCCAGGAGTCTGGGGTGAGCCCCTAGATGGGCAGTGTGCCCGGCAGACAGCAGCTCAAAGCAACTTCCTTCCCAGCTGCTAGGCAAGATAAGGGTGTATGGTGTGGAGGGGGTGGGGAGTCATCCATTTGGCCTCCTGGGATCTCCCTTCCTGCGCACAAGACAGGGTAGTGATGTCCAGTTCAGGGTCCTGACCTGGGGCCTCTGTCCAGGGTCAGAGCCTGCCTGGCCATTTTTGGGTAGCCCAGAGGGTGGCCACGCCAGAGGGGCAGTGGGGACAGTAAGAGAAGAGCTTACTTAGCTCCTGTCCCAGGGCCCACCCTGCCCACCCACCGGCAACTCTGCCAAATCTCCCCAAAATACCATGGCCCCCAGGGCCCAGGTGTAAGTGGGGAGCAAGGCTGGCCCCCAGCGGGCTGGGGCCTGGAGACACGAACCGACGCTAGAGAAGGGAAAGAGCGACTACTCTGCTTTTAACGGCAGTCCAGCTGTTAAGTCCAAGACACACAGAAGGTTGGGGGTTTCTCGGGGACTGAGGGAGCCAACAAGGTTCTGAATTTCCACTTGGGACAGAAACCAAGAGACAAGCCCCTCAGAGCATTCCAGGAAATACGCCTCCATCTTCCCTCTGCAGCTACTCAGAGGGGCCCTGGCCACCACCACCCTCACCCCCACAGGCACTGTCCCCTCTCAGCCCTGAGCTCAGACCTACACCCAACCTCTCTGCACCTACATGTCCCCCAGGTTCCTCAAACCCAGTCTGTCCCACAGAACTCACCCCACCCCTCGACCCTCCACTGCCTGCCTCCCCAGTCTCAGCGGGGAGTCGTCCCCAACAGAGGGAGCGGTAACAGGACCAGGCAGCCTACTTTCAGGCGACCTGAGAAAGTGGGAAGGGCAGGGAACTGGGAGTCAGGAGGCCTGGGTCAAGATCCTACCACTGGGGCAGCTGACCCTTCCACCCTCGGTTTCCTCACCTGACAAATACAGGTAATAAATCCTGCCCTGTTGACTTTGTCAGCCAGGTTTGAGCAACCAATGAAATTATGGGTAGAAAGTATTTGAGAAAAGTAAACACCCTGTAGAATGGGGAGGGGCACTTATTAAACAGTTCTCTGCACCCAGTTTCACACTAAGGGTTTTACAAACATCATCTCTTTTAATCCTCACAGCAATCCACTGAGGAATGTACGACTTCTACCCACTTTGCCGATAAGAGACTGAGGCTCAGGGGGTAAGGTGGCCCCAAGGTCAGTCAGCTGGCAGTGTGGAGCTGGATTTTAATTCAGGTCTCATGTGTCATCCTAGCCCTAAAGCCCACATGCATTCCACCACACCCGGTCCCTGCCGGGAGTCAAGAGTGCTAACTGGGGTCTGATCTGGCCCTGCCAGAGGTCTGCTGCGTGACTTTGGACAAGTCACTGCTCCTCCTATCAGCAGAAATAATGCAAATTCCAAACCAAAGAGAATTTCTGCCATGAAGTGATTCTGCCAGGCTGGTGTAGGGACTTCTGCAGCACAGGTGTTCGTGACACCTCTGACCTCGATCTGCCAGTGCCCCGACTCTCAGCCATGGGTGCTGTCGCCCAGGGCCCAGGCTGCTGCTGGGAGTGGGGTGGGGGCTTCGTGTCCTGAGTGTGGGAATTTCCATCCAATCGTGCAGAGACCAGGAGACTAGCAGTGGGCCATGGCAACAAATGCACCTCTGAGGAAGCTTCCCCAGGCCACAGCCCGCTCCAGACCCCAAGGCGGACAGTCTCACAGAACACATCTCCCCCGACCCTGGTACATTCAGGCTGGCCTGCCTGCGGCTGCCTCCAAAAAGTGGTACTTGGTGGTAGCGGAAAGTCTCACAAGGTCACCTGCTTTTTTCAAACCCCAGCCTGCAGTCCTCTCTTTCTCCCATAGATGGTTGCATTCAGCCCACAGATGAGTTAGGTTTGTTCAGAATGGTGTTGGCCACCTAGTTCTTTTACAATTTTGTGTTCAGTTTCTATAGTCAGTGCTCTTCCCAGAGCCCCTAGGATCCCTTTACAGTCTGTGTCCACACAACTCCAGGAAAGCACCAGGCTTGCACTCCCTACAGCTAGCACCTGTGGCTCGTTATCAGAGGCCTGACTGCAGGAAACCACTTTGCCTGCTAGCACCGAGGGCTGCAAGGGTCCTGAGCCAGTGACTGGCAGGTGAGGGGATATAAAAAGTTCAACTCCTTTGCCCTGATTGGGGCAACTCCCAGGTGTGGTGTACACCATCCTGGAGCTCCCCACAGGACTTGCTTGGTGTCACCCTTGTTTGGCTTCCTTCCTTCCTTTCCTTCCTATTCCTTTCCTTCCTTTCCCTGCCCTTCTTCCCTAGTCCCTTACCAGATTTTCCTGGAAACACTTTGCTCCCCATCAAAAAAAAAAAAAACAAAACATCACTTTCATACAAATCCTCATCTCAGGGTCTGCACCAGAAGAACCCAACCTAAGACAGTTGCCAACAAATTTTGCACAGAAGTCCAGATTTCTGCTTCTCATGATAAATCTGTAGATGTAGCAACCCTGAGCCCATTCTCACTTGGCCACAGTGGCTAGAGCTGAGTAGAGGCTGCCTCATACAGATGGAAGATATGTTCTCCAGTTTTCCCCAGTCCACCACACTCCCTATCGTCCTCCAAATGGCCCTTTTCACCCATTCATATTCCCTGCCTGGCCCCCACAAGCTTCTGAGTTTGCAACCTCCACAGTACAGTGCAGTGATTAACAATGCAGGCTCTGGAGTCCAGGTCCACCGATTAATAATTCTGTGACACTATATAAATCTTCATATTTCTCTATTTCCTCATGTAAAAAATGAGTACTTATACCTACCTATGTGGTACCCTCTATGGTTGTTAGAGACTTAAATGGGATATTGCCTGTGAAGTGATTCGTGTAGTATCTAGCACATGATAAGAAGTCAAGAAGTTACTGATATTTGTCCTCTTGGAAGAGATGTGCCTGCTACAATCCGACAGCCCACATCCAACTATCTGAGGTTACCTGCTGGTCCCTCACTCCCCTAGAGGGAAGATACCTCTTCCCTGAAGAGGTCTGGGTCTGAACACTCACCTCTTCCCACTGGTGAATATATCGAATGAGGCGGGAGAGACGCAAGAGGCGCAGGAGGCTGAGGATCTTGGTGAAACGGACGATGCGCAGGGCCCGGGCAGTCTTGTAGACCTCCGAATCGATGCGTGTCTCCACAATGAGGAAGATGTAGTCCACGGGGATGGAGGAGATGAAATCCACCACGAACCAGCTTTTGAGGTACTTCATCTTAATCCGCTGTGGGTCCAGGATGATCTCTGTGTTGTCCTCCACCACAATCCCTGTGCGGAAGTTGAGGACCAAGTCGATGAGGAAGAACGTGTCCGACACCACGTTGAAGACAATCCATGGTGTGGTGTTCTCATCCTTGAAGAAGGTGATGCCCACAGGAATGATGATCAGGTTTCCTACCATCAGCAGCAACATGGTCAGGTCCCAGTAAAATCTGCCCAGAGACACATAGGTCAGTCATAGGAGGAGAGAGAGAATGAATTACAGACTAAAAGAAAGCTCAGAGACAGCAAAGGTGGGAGAGAGAAGTCTTCAGAGGTTCTGAGACCCTGCAGGAGATAGGTGCATGGGTACCAGGGCAAGATGTCATGACTGGCATAGAAACAGCCTCCTCCTTAGTCATCCTTAGGGATGCCTTCTGCCTGCCCCTCTGTGAGATCCCCGATGACAAGCCTCCTACTCCAATCCCCATGCCCCAGTGAGAGGCTGAAAAGCAAACTAAATAATGACATCCAGAGAGAGGCAAGAGGCTGTTTTAGCAGCAGAAGTAATTCACCCCGCACCACCCCAGGCTCAGGCCAGGATGCTCCATCCTCCCTGAGGGTCAACTGTGGCCTGAGACAGGATGGCAGGCAGACATGCCACAGACCGTGACCAGAGAACAGGGGAGGTCCAGACACACAGCAGGAGCCTGGGATGCTGGAGGCATGGGATCCAGTCCTAGCTCTGTCACTGACAGGCAGGTGCCCTCCCCACTCTGGGCCTCAGTTTCCCCACTGTGCAATGAGGGGCGGGGCCTCCACACTCGGTCCTGTAATTCTGATCTGGCCTTCTCCCACACTGGCTCTCGGGGGGCCTCCCTTTAGTCTATCCCCTATAGTCAGAAAATGTCTGACCATCTCTCTCCCCCAGAGGTTTACTTCTAAACACAGCAGTAGGGAAGGTCAGTGATATCTTCAAATGCAGGCAGTGTTTTTCTTTTTTTTAAAATATATTTCAACAATTTTATTTTATTTTTTTCCAGCAAATAAGTTATATTTAGCAAAGTAGATACTTTTGATGTTCAAGTACACATTTAAATAAATACTGATTGAATAATCAATATATTAATCACAATAAAATATTGCAAATATTTTCTCATTTTTTCTTAAAAAGTTTCCGTTAAACATTATTTGGTAGAATAATTATTTCAGTTACCAAAGTTTCTGTGATAAAATGTTTAAAACATTTTTATCGGAGTATAGTTGATTTACAATGCTGTGTTAGTTTCAGGTGTACAGCAGAGTGACAGGCAGTGTTAACGGGGGGATTTCAGGCACCAGTGAGGTACCACTCAATGCAACAGAATGAGGCCAGTGGGGGCTTCCAGCATCACTTCTTCTAAGGCCTCAAAGCAACTGCTAGTATTTCCTGGGGAGGTGGGGAGGGACCCTCAGGGTGAAGCCTCTGAGAGGTTAAGCAGTATGAGGAGGTAAAAGCCAACTCACAGGTCTCCTATCTGGCCCAGCAGGGGCCCCTCTGGAGTATGCAGGTAGCACAGGTAGGCAGAGACCCTATGTCTAGAAGGCATGACCAGGGACCCTGCCCAAGAACCAGCCACCCCAGGGCTGGCCCTAAAACTGAAAACTTGCACTGCAGAGCTGTTTCTCTCTGCTAGTAATTTAGACAGTTACACAATGACAGATAAATGTATTATGCTGGGAAGAAATAAGCCTGTCTTCTCCCAAGAGAAATAACCTTTCAGCCATCTTTAACGCTCTACTGCAGGGAAGCCAGGGGGAAGGGAGTGGGAGACAAAAAGATAAGCTTTCCTCGAGTCTTCAGTGGGTCCCACCGCAAAACCAAAGTGCCCCGGCCTGAAGAGTTCCAAGTTTGAAAAGAATTACTTCACAGCAAATTGCTTTCTTTGTCAGACTCAGAATGGCGCTCTGAGTCAAGGAGAGGGCAGGGCCTGCTTCAGTGAAGGTGGGCGAGAGAGTTGTCCCACATCACACAGCTCAGGGAAGTGTGGCTTCCGGAAAGGCAGCTTCCGGCAGCTCCTCTGAAAGCCAAGTTCTTCAGGGCATCAAGACGGGACTTCAAGTCACAGCCTCACTGGGCTAAGGCTTTTCACTCTAAGTCTGGTGCCAAGAGGTCAACTTTAGCTCCTTCCCTGCCCCACAGCCCGCCACCCCTTCGTCAGCCCTACTCCCCCCGTGCCATCTGGGAGAACCCACCCCAGCCTTCACACCCACTACACGGAACACAGCACATCCTGCTAATGACTTCTGGGCCCTGGGAGAATGGTTTCAGCTTCTATGCTGCTCTCAAGCTGTGTACACTCTCCACTCAGCCTCATGCACACCATTCAAAGACAGCTGCAGACACTCATTAGATGCCATACACAGGTATCCTCATTCACACACGCAGTGTGCAAACACCCCTATGTACACATGGCCATCGTTCCTTTTATTTAATCTCTTGGGAAAAACAAAACAAAAAAATTGTGACATAGAGAGGCCACTGAGAGCCTTGTGGCCTCTGTACATAAAGCTAATAATACACCCAGACTGGGAGAGTTTCTAAAATTAACAGAGCGGGTGCAAGGCAGCTTGGAATGCTGACTCGGGCAGGCCTGCTACTCCAGCGGGTTTCTACACTCTCCCAAGCTCTAGTTCCCTCAATTACAGACCAAATTTGAGACAGTAATTAACAGGAGAATGTTTTCATTTAGTGGTCTTCATAAAACCAAATTACATGAGGCAAAAACACCCATTTCCTTGCATTCTGATTAGCTGTTTCAATCATGAGTTTCCAGATGCTAAGGAATATTTGCTGGTGCCTGATCTGGGCTGAGGTCAGAACACTGGAGCACTTCTTCCCGCACACCACTGTCCTGGAGCCTCAAAGAGATACTCAAAACGCAGCATAATATGGTGGGAAGAAAGCAGCACAGGCTCTCAGGCCAACCCACCTGAACTGGATTCCTGGTTCCATCATTTGCTAGCAAGTTGCTTAATCTCTCCAAGCCTCAGTCTGCTCATCTGCTCACCTAACTAGTGGAACTGTTATAAGAACAAAATGAAGTGATATTTGTAAAATGCTCTGACCTATGCCTAGCCCATAGTTTTAAATGAGTAAATAAGTAATTCAAGTCAAAAAATTCACAGGAAAGAGGTGAGGGAGGTAGATGAAATCTTCCAGGGAAGAGCCAAAGCAAAGCATCTACAGGGGGTGGGTGGACGGGAGCTTAATAATGGTTCCAGAACAGCCAGGGGTGGAATTAAGGGCCCACAATATTCCCTGGATAATTGGACGGCAGAACCTATTTACCTCAGCATAGAGATGCCCTGATCTCAGGGAGCTCATGGTCCAAGGCTTAGCCAGGAGACAGAAGACAAGTTGGGCAATGATGTAAGAAACCATCCCAGGCAGCAGCCCAGGCATCTGAAAAGGTGGGCTCCTGGTGGCCTAGAAGGATGAGGTCATAAAGTGCTCCTGGAGGAGGTAACAGAAGTTGGGCTTTGGGAGCTGACCTTGGCCTTGTACACTATGCTTCCTTACTCTTTGCCAGACGGTTGCACAGATTTCTGAAAGCTGGGCCGGCAGAGAGCAATAAATGGTGTTCAGCACCACGGACAGCTCCCGGCGTGCCTGCCGGCCCTAGGGTCCTGGCCCAGCCAGGGGAAGTAGCAACAGCCTCCCCACTGCATCCGCAGCTCTCTGACCCCTCTTCTCCCTCAGTCCCAGTGATCAGAAGCATCTCAAGTGATTCCTTAATGTCCCTGCACATTTTCAATGGGGGGCTCCTTGGTGACTGAAAAGGCTCTATTCAAAAAGACCCCAAGGGGCTTCCCTGGTGACGCAGTGGTTGAGAGTCCGCCTGCCGATGCAGGGGACGCGTGTTCGTGCCCCAGTCCGGGAAGATCCCACATGCCGCGGAGCGGCTGGGCCAGCGAGCCATGGCCGCTGAGCCTGCGCGTCCGGAGCCTGTGCTCCGCAACGGGAGAGGCCACAACAGTGAGAGGCCCGCGTACCAAAAAAAAAAAAACAAAAAAAGACCCCAAAACACTCACATGTATCAAGCACTGACTTGGTGCTTTCAATGCATTACTTCATTCATTCCTCACACCAGCACTAAGGTGGCTGCTATTATCTGTATTTTACAGGTGATGACACCGAGGTTCAGAGAGAAGTATCTGCCCAAGACCACGCCGCTGGTAAGGAGCAGACCCCTAATTCAGACAGGTCTGTGGAACTCCAGAGTCTGACCTCTTGGGATTTTAGGCACCTCAGTGGGATGCGGGGAGGTGGACAAGCCTTTCTGGCACGTTTGCGTTACACTGTGGAGGTAGCCTACCACAGCAGGTACAGCCCCTGCCCCAGAGACAAGAGAGAAGAGAAGGGTGCAAAGAGGTTTCAAGGGGACTTATCTTCCTGATGCCAGGCCTTCTAAGGTACTTTCTGGGTGGGGAAGTTAACACACCTTTCAAGTATTAAAAGCACCCCAGTCATCAGCTGTACCCATCCTGCAGAAAGGAAAACTAAGGTCCACCAGGAGGGAATAGTTAACATTTCCAAAGCCTCAACCTGGAGGCCCAATGCTCCCCTGGCCCCCACTACCCCTAGAATCATTCATGAATAAATCCCACAATCCAGGCTACGCATCCATAGTGGCAGGTGGCAGGCCCTGGCGGGGAAGCAATGGATGGCCAGACTCGGGCATGCTGGAGTTGGCACAGCCCTGAATTAGAGGCCTTGGTTTCCCGAAAGCCAGATGACCCTCCCCATCCCAGTGTTCTCTAAGCTGAGAGGAAGTCCTAGCCAGCAAGACACAAGCTGGGCTCTGGAAGCCCCTGTCCCTGGACCTCAGGTCTGTTCTCCCTCAATTCTGGACCTTACTTTCTAACTGGACCAACAGGTCCATCTAGGCAGGTGATGGCCTCTCAGCAGGAGGGAGTGGCCTGTGGGCCAGCTTTGGAGGATCGGGGTGCCCACGGGCAGAAGGAAGGGGGTGGCAAAAAGCCCAACAGCCCATTACACAGATACCTGGAACATTTCATGGTCTGAGTGGAAGGTTATGGCCTCAAGGGAGCTGAGGGAAGAGAAGATAGAAGGCTCCTGATCCTGAACTCGGAGACTCAAGGACCAGACCAAGGGGCCTCTCCTTCCCTGGAGGCTGAAGAGGATGTGAAGGGTGATAAAACGGAGGCAGAAGTGGAAGTCCCGGGCTTC